TTGAAGCTTTCTCGTCTGCGTTTCACTGCACCCAGGCGACCATATTGGTGCGTATGAGAAGTGTCGTAGCACAGATTAAGTCTAAGATTTTAAGATTGTTGACAGTCGGAATCTTAACAGCTTCAACTGCAATATTAAGGTAAAGTCTGTACTCCTTTGTCCAGTTTGCGAATATAATCGCTGGCTATTTAGTGGGAGAGAGTATTAAGTTCCATGGTGCGAGGAAACGAGAAAGGTCGAAGGATAGCCGAAATTGGCTTCATTTTCTGTCGACCACCTCTTCATTCGAAGAAAATTTCATATCAGCGAGTATTCGTTTGTGATCAGATGTCACTGACTTCTGACATGATCCAATGCGTTCGTGAAGCAGCACTCTTTATTTTTCTTCAAATGCGAACGTTTTTCGAGGATATAGTCCTTCGCACAGTGCAACAGTCGATGTTGATTATCCTTCGTTTTGCAAGTTAGACAATAAAAGTTATTCTTTGCGCATCCTTAAATACAGACACCATAGCCTAGCATCCGACTTTTGCGTTTTTTCACACTTTGGATTTACTGTGTCCAGTCTACTCGCAGGGTGGTCGAACGGACTTTGAAATGAAATATTGGAATCAGCTTTGCTCCATTGGCACGTTCAGTTATTATTTATGAGACAACTTCTCTCACAACATTACTTTTTGGTCAACCAAAATTACTTTGTGGAACTTTTTCATATCTTTTTCGCCTTTGGGAGTCCACTGCGTGCACCTTCTTGTCAGTTTGCTCAGATATACATGGTTTAAGCTCTATTCCTATTACATAGATACAACTGCAATGGAAACGCAGCACTCTTAAACAGTGGGATCCATCTGTAAAAAAAAAAAAAAAAAAAAAAAAAAAAAAAAAAAAAAAAAAAAGAAAAAAATCTGTAAAAAAAAAAAAAAAAAAAAAATTCCAAAGTGTCGATAACAGCAGCTCCATGTATTCCGCAATTTTGACAACACTGCGTTGCGCTTGGCAACTAATCCA